TAAAAATGCAACACTTATATAATGTACTCAACACCGACTCGACATGCATGTGGTACCAAATATGAACACTCAGGTTCATTTCTCCCCCCGATCCCCACCATAGGATCAAATTCCTTCTTAAAACCGAAGCACAACAAATCGCTACCATCACCATAAGTAATGCGTCACTAATCCCCCAAATAGGAATTAGCTACTCGCACTCAATCCATCACTATAAGATCAAGACTCACCAAAAAGAACCGAAGTTCTGACAACATGAATGTATGGACTCTTAGCATGCCACAACAACACATACACATTGGCCCCTCTTCTGGCTGTGTATACCACTAACAACATAATCAACATAAACATAACACATGTATAATTAAATATGCAACATCTTTAACAATCACCACAATTATTCATGCTCAACAATTTATTATCGACACATATAAGCATCTTCCACATAATATTATTATAACCACATCATTATAACAACATCGTAAATAGTCAAAATTTAACCAATTCTGATTAACATTCTCAATATCATAACATCATCATAAGATAACATCAATAATACACAAAATTCTTATCAATTATTCATGTTATCACGACATAATCATCCCATGAAACTAATTATATTTGATGGTAAATTGCGTTCCAATGTTTCAAACAACAACTCATTTAGACTTACGGATCAAAAGTTATGGCCAAAATCGTTGGACAGTGCAATAAAAACCCAAAACAACATTCTGGCAGCTTGGAGTCGACTCCCAACCTCTATGGGTCGACTCCTGGTACGTATGCCGACTCCCAGAATTTATGGGTCAAATCCTACTGTGCAGTTTTAAAAAATTCCTTTTCTATTAGTTTGGAGTCGACTCCAATCACTTACGGGTTGACTCCAACTGTTGTTTTTGCAAAAAAAAAAAATCAGTTTTTAAACTATCCAAACCCTACCTTATATGACAACAATTTATTTTACGAAAATCTATCAAATTAATTCAATTTCCTACTGTTATAACACCCTAAACTCATATATTACTCCACGGGTTCATGAATCAACAACATATTACAACAATATCATCATGTTCATCATCTCTACATCACATTAACACACTTATGTCACAACCTTCAAACATCCATCAATGACAGATTTCATACATATAAAATCAAGGTAAACCAAATATAATTTCAGTCACACAATCACATATATGAACACCACAATCATCATTCAAACATTGATTAATGAGAAAACACGACAATCATCATATAACAACTATCATAGCGTCACAATTCAGAATTATGAATCAAAACACCCAACCCTAAGGAGGTTAAGGGTCTCTCATTCTACTCCTTATACTTTAACACCCATTAGAGAAACACATCTCCCCTTACCTTGATTTCCCTATCAAGCAATGAAATTATTCCTTAAATTCTTCTCCTTCTACCTCTAGCCAACTTTGCTTCCTCCTCTTTTATTTCCAAATTCTACGTACGGTAAAAATGATCCTTTATCTAATAAACTTATATTTAGGGTTAAACTTCTCAAAATTATGAACTTGACCCAGCTTAAAATACTTCTTATTCCTTCCTCCCACTAATTTTTCTAGATTCTCATATTTGATCCAATCACTCTATTTTTCTTATTTTTACTAAAAAAATATAACAAAAATATTATTTTACTTAATAAAAATAATTCTAAATTATTCTATACACACATTACTATTTTACCATGCCCTTAACTTAAGGACTCACACCCCCACAAACATTCCAACAAATAAATAAATAAACGAATAAACATAATTAATCAGTAGAATACGGTAAAATATTCTATATGAAAAACGAGGCGTTACAATTGGCTCATTCACTCTCAAGCTCAATATAAAGAAAAAACACAAACGCACGCATCCAACGTCTTGTATATTGTGATTGAAGATTAATAACTATTTTCTTGTATAAGAGGTTCTCGAGTCTTTTCTGCAAAAAAAGCTTTCAAAATATTAATGAAAACTCTTAAGATCAATTCTAAGAGGAATAAGTTCTTTTATTTTTTTATTGAACTTTTATAACTTTTGATATTTTTCTTTTCCCTTATCACTTTTTTTTTTTAATTATGTAATTTATTTTTCGCATTGTATTTTCTGCTGTTTAATTTTCAAAATAGTCTTAAAACTCTCTTTTTTATTTTTCAAAGTTTTTTAAAACTAAATTTTTATAAATCACACAAACATAAACTTTCAAAAACCATAATAATAAATTTCTTTTTATCCCACACATTCACACTAACTCAACCTCTAATTAAAAAACTACTATCGTCCAACCATTAATACATTAACCCAAACAACAACAAACAAAACTTTAAAATCATAGCAAATTAAATTATAATAGCTCAACACAAATTTAGAATTTAATACACTCCGAGATTCATCATTATTATCCATTTATATTATTTAATACGTGATTAAAATAAAAGTGAAATTCTCTGATTTTATGATTAACTATTAAAATCCTTTTATTTTGTTCGACTATATTTCAATTAAATTCTAACCTAACTGAACAAATCTCTGCAACTCCATCCCTCTTATTGGCACTGAACTCAGCTCGCCGGAAAACGAAAAGCTCACCGGAAATTGCAGGTGGAGATTGGTTGCTGCCAGAAGCATTGATAAACTCCTACAGGTTTTCCTCTTTTCCTCTTTTCTGTTTTTCCCTTCCCCTCTCTTTTTCCATGGCGAATTGCGGCTGCGGTAGCCAAATACGGTGCCGTTGGCAACACGGCTTTAAGCACAAGATATAAAAGTTCCAACATAAGGGGAATATTACTACATATTAGAAACAAATTGAAAATGCATTATCTCAAAACCTTCCTTCACTGCGTAAATCATGTGGTAGATACCGATTTCTTAGTATATTATTGAAGATGATTTGATTTCCACATTTCAAGAGTTAGTTCTTAGGTCTAAGTTGATGTATAACATTTATGGAATAGAGTACACAGCTTCCATTGATTGTATGATTCAATTAACATTTAGCTTCAACAAGTACCACTGAATGTTGTTATTATCTGTATTAGCATCCTTTAAGGATTACATATGTTTAAAAAGCATTGTTTTTAATTTCTATAGTGAAAATGAGAAGCTGTGAAAATTTTTAGGTTATGAGGCCTAAATTCTTAATTTGATCAAAATCAGTTTTAAAATTTCTGAATACAATAAAATGGGTTTCCCTGATTCAGTTTGTGATTGCTCATGCGCTAGGCTGCTTCTCTCATCTCTGACTAACACTAATCCCGAATCCCACGAAAAATACTGATCTCCCTCACTTAGCTTCTCTCCGCTTTGTTTCTTATTTCTAATTTGTCTTTCCCGGATGGAGCGAAGCCACTCTTCATAATTTTGGTCTTTTGGTAATGATGATCATATCATATTAAACAACAACGACTGTGTCTTTGATACTTGTTTCTGTGTCTGAAGTTACTAACAGACTCAAAGCTAAAATGTTCATCATTTTTGTTTGTAATTTCTCCCTTGTTCTTGTTGTTTTTGGGGTTGAACTTTGTTTTTGGTGTTTATTTTAGGATTATGAGGATTTTGTTATAATGATGATGCTATTGTAATTCTGTGAAAATGATTTTATGCTGGGTTACTTTGTTTCATAACCATATGTTTATTTTCATTTCCTTGCAATTTTTCTACTTTACTTTTTCATTTTTTAGGACACAATCAATTAAATAAACTTATATATAAGATTGGTTATAGTTAATTTTAGCATATTTTCTAATCTGGATGTTTTTCTTTTACATAAGTTAAGAGTGGACTCTTCTAAAATATTTGATTAATTTCCTATCTTTAATGTTCTTATTCTCTTTACTTCTCATGCTGCAAACTTTCCCTTCCAACCAGGAAAGTTTGGAGAAACTTTGGCTCCTATTCCTTTCACAAACATAGCAGCATCATACTGTGTTCTCTCTTACTAATTGCTTAATTGTCAGAATATAGAACATGACATTTTATGTTACTTGTGGTTTAAGTTTATTTAATTGATTTCAATGCTCAATATTGATCGTTTTCTCTACAGTGTGAGTGTAACTTTTACGATTCAATATCTATGTTAGTGTCACTCAGTGTTATCAAATATCCTTCATGGCGGAGTTGTGGCGGATATACATGGCGGTATTTGGGCTCATTGCAATGGTAAATATTGGCCGATATTGCAGGTTTTTCCGTCATAATCCGCTATAACGGCGCAGTAAAGCAGTTGGAATGGCGGAATTATAGCTCTCCGCCATTCACCGCTATCCACCATCGACAACACTGGTGTCACTATTTGGACGGGTTGAATATCACTATTTGAATAGTTTCTGTCTATTCTGTGCTAATGTTGCTAAAAATCTGAGTTTTTTTTGTTGTAAAATTTGGTCTTGAAAACCGATTTTGAAATAATAACCTGGTTTTAAACCCCAAAATAACCGATTACAAACGGCTTAAAACCGGTTTGAGAGAATAGCCAATTTTTATCGTGGTTTGTAAAAATAACAAGTTATATGGCCATAATTGTTTTTGAGTAGAAAGTTGATTTGGTTATAAATCCTAATCCATGTAAGTGGTCTATTAATGAATATGGTTTGATTTTTAAAAATACCCTACCATGCACTGCCCTAATACTGTTGGAGCTATAATGTACACATATTTTTCTTACTGTAATCATAAACGCCTTTGTTTAAGCCATTTGTGATGATACATATGCTAAATATTGCGTAGTAATTTACAATAACTCTTAAGTTATGCATACACCAACTTAACCCGAGTCTCTGTCTGCATTGGCTGACAAATGATAGTAAATGTGTTTTATGTTATAATAGATTCGGCATTCTCTATGCAAGAGAGGATCTAGATTCCGTACCCTTTCTCTTCTAAATTTTTCTTTCCTCCAATTTGATTCATTTATCTAAATATTTTAGTTTTCCGTAATAATTTTTTTCTGTGGCCATGTTAGGAAACTGATTTGCTTTGGAAATAATGGAGGCCAAATTTTTCCGCTTTCTTAAGATTGTGGGTGTTGGATACAAAGCTAGAGCTGAATCTGCAGGGCGTCTGTTGTATCTCAAGTTAGGGTACAGTCATGAGGTGGAATTATCCGCGCCTCCTGCTGTCCGTGTTTTCTGCTTCAAAAACAATGTAATTTGTTGTACAGGAATAGACAAGCAAAGGGTGCATCAGTTTGCAGCTACTGTTCGCAATTGTAAGCCACCTGAAGTTTACAAAGGCAAGGGCATCATGTATACCGATGAAGTTATCAAGAAAAAACAAGGAAAGAAGTCTAAATGATTATATAATCTTTGTCGATTTCATGAAGTCTACGACTCAGGTGCACATTTGCTAGACTTTGCAGATTTTTTTTCCCTCTAGCCTTGGATAGTTTCAGTGTTAGAATTCTTAAAAAGAGCATCATGGATAATCAAGTTTCAAATAACAGCATTTTTTGCTTCAATATTGTTGAATGATATGTATCATTTAGAGTTATCTTTGTTGAGATATTTATCAATTTAATAGGATAGGATTATTATATAATTATGGCTAATTTTTTGGCTACTGTAAAATGTCCCATGGGAAACGAAGGTGGAAGTTCTAACCATTCTGTTTTTGTTCCCTTCTACTTGCAGTTAAAATATTATTACATGGTTCACTTTGAATTTTACCTCATATTTTCATTTTCATTCTCTCCACATAGTTCTAATTTGCTAATAAATGTACAAAGAGTGTTGGTTAAAGAATCAATAAAATGAAAGTTTGCCCATAACTAATGTGCCTCCATCACCTTCACTTCGTGTTCGTTCATTCTTCTCCTTCACTTTGTTGCTCTTCCTTCATCTTCTATCATTAGTTAGACTTAGAAGAACTACTTATTATTAGTTGTTTTGAAGTTTGAAGTACTTAACTTTTAAGTTTTAAGTCATTCTTAATTTTTGTTTTTAGCTTTCTGCAACATTATTTAGTTGTTTGAACTTTAGATTTTCAGTTTAATGTTGGTCAATTTTTTAACATCTATTTATGTAACTTTTATTCAGGTGTAGCATGTTCCCATTTATATATAATTGTTGTAGTTGTTTAGCAAATTGAGCTGTTTTAAGTCATTCTCAGGTTGATATCATATTAGCAAATTTGATATGTTATTAGTGATAATTCTTTGATGTAACTGTTGTTTTTGGAAAGTGTGATGTTTAGTGTTGATGACAGGAAAATTATATGTGTGAAATAGTATTAATGTTTCAATGGCCAAGTCAAGCATTACAAGATCTAATCTGATGGCATTCATGTTTGTGGTGTGATTTATTACTTGCTGCAACAATATTTGTGAATTCACCTCCACTATTCTTCTGCTCCCACTAAGTCATATGTGTAAATGTTATTTGTTGCATATGAATGTTGTTCGGAAAATTGAGGTTGAATTTATGTTTTGATCATATTTTGTTGTATTTGAGTATATCCTTATTTTTGAATAGGACTGTACGAATCTAAATATGTTAAGTTATACTCATACTGTCTCAAAATAATCGATTTAATTGACCAACTCACATATCAAAAAATTGTATTAATAAAAAAGAGAGAAGGGCTTTTATCATAAATATAAATTTATCATAAATGTGAAGGGAAAGATACTAAATTTAGAAGTCTAACTTGTACAACAACAACAACTTGGGGATTCGACTATATGAATCAACTTTTGCTGTAATATTTTATTTAGGATCATATTTATATCCAAATTATTAATCTTGATATCTTTTTTAATAACTTATTTTATATAGTCTATGGTATTTTGGATCGAACTCTAGTCTTGATAGAGATAATTTTATGGTTCGATAAAAGTTTAACATGTAGTTGAAGTCTGTTCGTATGCTGATTTTGTATGTTGTAGTCGAAGTCTGTTCGCATGCTGATTTTGTATGTTGTAGTCGAAGTATATTCAAGTATGCAGTAGTTGAAATGCTAAGATTGTTAGCATGTTGAATTGAGTTTTCCTTGTCAACTCAATTGTTAAGTTAGCTTGTATCCTAAGTTAGCTTAATAATCTATAAATAGACTAGTTCTTTCAGATTGTTGTGAGAAGTTAATTATTATTCAATAGTAATCTTTGAACCTTTATCGAGTAAGTGAATAGTAAAATAGTTATAACCAATTCCAGTTCTTTTTCTTCTTTCTTCTCTCTTTCGTTAAACCTAATAGGGTTTCTTGTGTTTGTTCAAGAAACTCACTCTTTCTCATATTTTAATTTGTTCTTGACGACATAAATTCACAAATAGTATTTCTAAGTCTTTCTCGTCTTTTAATAGTTTGATTTCTCTCCATCTAATTTACTCTCCTTACCATAAAATCTACAAGTTTTCTCTTTACATATCAAAATCACTTAAGTCTATTTTCCTCTATCTTCACTACTATAATTGACACTCTAACATTCTCTCTAATTTTTTAATTTTTAATCATATTATGTATAGTCTTACCATTCATCCAACACAACATTTTCATCTCCCTTACACTAACTTTATTCTCGTATTGATTATTAACTGCTTAACATTCTGTCTTGTATAACATCGCAAATCGTACTACAATTCGACAAATTTTCCCGTCAGCTTGAGTGATACCTCTATGTCGCATAAAATCCCGAAAACCCTCCTCCATTTCAACAACCCAGCTTGAATTTGATGATTTACATCCTCTTTTATTTCTCCATCATTTTGTATTACGAATCGAAGATATTTAAATCGTGTGACTTGATGGATGCTGTGATCTCATATTTTCATCTATAGGTTAGAAACACTTCTTCTTTGTTGAACTTACATTCCATATACTCTGTCTTACTTCTGCTTAGGTGAAAACCTTTTGTTTCTAAAGTTCGTCTCTAAGTTTACAACCTCTCATTTAACTTCTCATCTGACTCTCAAAGTATGACTATATCATCTACCAAAAGCATGCATCAATGGGCTAGTTCTTGGATCGATTTTATAAGTACATCCAAAATTAAGGTAAAAAGGTAGGGGCTTAAAGTTGATCCTTGATTCAAATCTATTGTAATGGGAAATCGTCTGTCTCTCCCACTTGTGTTCGCACACTAGTTGATACTCGCTCGTACGTATCTTAGATAATTTGAATATATGCAATCTTAACCTCTTTCTTTATAAGTCTTTCCACAAAATCTCTCTAAGCACTCTTTCATACGCTTTCTCTAAGTCAATAAAAATTAATTGCAAGTCTTGTTGGTTCATCCAATGTTGCTCATCTTGTTGGTTCATCTTCGTAAACACAATTAATTCAAAATTAAGTGGATGTTACAAAGATGCATTTCCGGATGCATTTTATACATTAAATCACGCCAGATCATTCTCTCTTCTTCTTCTTCTTCTTCCTCCCCCACCTCCTCATTTGAGAGAGAGAGGGAGTGTGTGTGTGTGTGTACACCAGAATGTATAGTGGTTCAACTGTATCATTCCCATTGAAAGTTATTTTTTCACTATGTTTCAAAAAAAGTTAAATGTGTTCATACAATCACATAATCCATAATAATGTTGAGAAAATAAATCTCCTATATGGATCTTGACTTGTTTACAACTTTGATGTCGAATTCTGCGAAATCGTTACTTTGAAGGTGAGAAAAATACACTAGGGGGGTTGAATTGTGTAATCAAAAAATTCGTTTCACTTATGATTATAAACTTCAAAATCTGAACCATGTTCAGAGTCTTAAATCAGATCAAGTAACAACAACGAAAATATGATGATCAGAAGTAGATGCAAGAAACACACAAACATTATCCTGGTTACTCTCTTCAACTGAGAGTAGTCCACTTCTCTTGTCTCAACAAGAGCTTTTCACTATAACCAAGCAAATTACAATTTGCTCAAGCACACTTGCAAGAGACTTCAATGCTCAATCAACCTAGAAAGAGACTTCTGCTCAATCAAGAAACTTCAACGCTCAAGCACCCAGGCAATATACTTCCTCTACTTTACACAAATAGTTTAGAAAATTTAACTACTATACTTTGATACATAATCAGAAGTATAACAGTTGTGCAACAATCACAAAGGTTCTTAACCTTTCTAAGATTTCTAAGATACACTAAGATAAGAAATCTTAAGATCTTATGCAATAATAGTTACAAAAATAACAGCTCAGAGTTATACCAAAGATCTTATAATGCGTTGTGATGTTGTAACCTTCCTTCAAGTCTTCAACTTCCTTTTATAGAGGTAGATGAAGATTCGTTGGAGGGTTTGAACAACACAAACTTAGTGAAGAAGTATGCCAAGAGAGATGTTGGGAACTAGCATCTGGTTAGAAGTAATGTCAATTGAATAATGACAATGTCCACAACACCTTTTGAAGTAATAGGTGTCTACCAAAAGGTAGAACAGATTGAAGAGGTCACATCACCATCCTTTGTGTCTTGTGAAACCAAACTCTAGTTGACTCTTCCCAAAAATCTGGTGCTTGAAAAGACTGGTCTGCTTTTGGTGTAGAGTACGGACCAGAGGCACCTTTTTCCTTCAGAGTATGAGTTGTCTCCATAGGATGAAACAATATACCAGAGTCTGATCCTTCAGATGCTGATGAACACATTCAGAGTCACCGGATTCTGATAATCCAGAATCTGAGTAACATTGCTTCTCCACATATGCTTTCAACAAGATTAATTCATAGTGAATTCTCACCTTATGATCCTGCACACTTAAATATATGTTAGTATACCCATTTGTTCTCTAAATATTTTATTATCATAAAAACTCAAGGGATATGAACAATCTCGTTCCAACATACTTGATTCTCATTTATTGAATCTTCCAACTTCACCAATCTGCTCCAAGTCTCTGTGGCAATCACTCTTGATCCCTGTAACACCCATTTTAATTATTTAGCCTTTTGGTGATATTTTATTATTGGTGTGTCCTTGTGAGGGAATGTGTCTGGATGCGTAGTGGGTACCCATAAGTATGGAGATTGATATTAATATAATATTGGTGGTAATCTAATAAATAATAGCAATATTATGGTTATTATTATAATTATTATTATGGCGATTATTAGTTATTATTATTATTATTATTATTATTATTATTATTATTATTATTATTATTATTATTATTATTATTATTATTATTATTATTATTATTATTATTATTGGGAATATGAGTGGTTGGAATAAGTGATAAGGGAATAAGTAATATTAGAGAAGTTTTGGGAAAAGAAAGTTAGAACACGATACATCAGTTCCAAGAGAAAAGAGAAAAGAGGAAGAACAAGGAGGAAGGAAAGAGGGCCAGGGCTAACGATT